CTGGAGGCCGAGCTGGCAGCTTGCGCCAGGCTTTCTTTCACAGACATCGGAACGGTGGGAATCGGAGGCAGTTTCTCTCTCCAAGATGATCCGTCTATATCCGTCAAAGCCTTGGTCATTCTGGAGGGAAGGAGCGATGTCTTGCATGATACATTTTTTGTATCCTTGTGCTTATATGTTGTGTATTACCTCTTTATTATAAGGTTGATCAGTGCATTCTCTATTAACATGCATAATACTTCTGGATCCTGATCATGCAGAATTACCTGTTGACGCCATCGTGAGCAGCCGGTATGTTCCAGTCTATCTGTAAAACCGTTTTGTAGTCCACATACGCCTGTCTGTATCTCTCCAAGGCTTCATAAGCTGACGCCCGGCGAAGCAGAGCTTTAAATCCAAACGGAACCAGTTCAAGAGACCTGAAAGATAAATATTAAGATTATTAACACTGCACATAATCACGTTAACCATTTTTGCACCTGCTGTGTTGCACTTACATTGTGCAGTCTTTAATGCATTCACTGCAGTTTCCATCTTTCAGGTAACTGGCGGCCCTGTTGGAGTGTAAAATACCCAGATCTTCCTTGTTCTTCTGACCTGCGAACAGAACATTGATGTGTCTTTATTTATGTTAGTGCCACTGCTTCCTTTACATCTATTATAGTCAGAGGAACCATTTCTCGGTCATATTCAAATGGAATCTTCATGGTATTGTTACAATCAGATTCTAACACGGTTCTGTGAGATGATAAAGGATATGTAATCATAATTCCTAACCATGCAAGGGACCCCCTAGGTAGTTATATATTTGTATTTATAAACACCCAATTTATAATATGAAAATTAATTATATAAATGTGTGTAAAATCTGATTTGGAAAATATGTTCTATTATATGCCCTTTTTTTTTTACTACTCACTACAGTGCTGTACTATTAAATATATATATATATATACACATTTTTTTAATGTTTTATCTTTATTAATGTTAACCACTGTACATTTTTTCATGTATTTTTCTATTTTATTATTAGTATTACTAACTAAGCAGTCAGAATATGTATAAAATAATATTGGGGAAATATGTTCTATTATTTAATACAACTTTTTTCCTACTCACTACAGTGCTGTACTATTATATGTATTATTTATTTACATTTATTTTCAAATGTTTAAACTGTTTTTCTCTGAACGTTTCCACTAACGTTAACTAGGCCTGTCGCAATAATCAATATATCGACTTGTCGCGCAATATATGTACATGACCTCAATAATTTTTGGTGACGCAATATATCGCCCATTATATTTACTTAAAAATTAATGTCACCATATTTTGTACATTCCACTTGCGCCTGTGTCTTTGCAGCTTCTCGTATATAACGTGGTGCAGTCATGAGGTGCTAGTTTCATCTGCAGATATGATCTTGTTTAGGGACCTGCGCCTTTGTGCATACAGACATCTGACTACTGAGTAGTGATTGTGTTTTTCAGATTGTGTTTCTCTTTTACAGAGAAAAGAAGGTCAGGGAAAAATCTCCAGACAAGTTCTTTGTGCATTTTTCTTTTTTTCTACTTGTTACTTTGCACTTTTTTTGTTAGAAACAGTTTATTTACTATTTATTCCGTTTTTTAAGGTATCTAATATTTTGATAATTTCCATGATCTAAATATTCCTAAAAATTAAAAGTTTGTTGTCATTTGGAAGCGTGTAGGCCTTCTTGCATTATTATGCTGTTACATTATGATTATATATTCAGTGGCATAAAATGGTCTTTAAAATGACAATAATATCGCTTATCGCAATTATTTCTGGGGCAATATATCGCACAACAAAAAGTTGTTATCGTGACAGGCCTACGTTAACCCCCTAGTACTCAATTGGGGGTCCTGGGACCCTGTTTTGAAAACCCCTGAAAAAGTACACACGTTAGTGTAATACTTGAAGTAATACCATAGTACTGACATGGTATTGCAAGGAATAAGAACATCATGGAACATTTCGTGTAAGTGCAAGAATACCATGGTACATGTACAAAAACATGGTAATTAGCTAAGTGGTAATACTGTTACCATGGTAATATTTGAAATATGACTATATTTCACTGCCCTTACCAGACTTCTCCAGCAGCTGGATGGACCGGCTGTAGAGGTTCACGGCTTCTCCGTACTGACCGGCTCTGAAGCACTCGTTACCGGCTTGTTTGAGCACCGTCCACGACTGCGAGCGCCGCTTCTGAGGCATGTTGACACTGAGGCGGTCAAAGGCAGTGCTGTTAACTTAGTTTAGCAATGTTACACACTGCCAGTAAAACTGTTGCGATACATATACATGTATAGAATACAACAAAGTTACCGTGGTAGAATCACGTCTGGAGTTGAAAACCCGGAAAGTAAACGTTGAAGGAAGGGCTTTGGTGCTCGCTCAGCTCCGCTCGTTTAAAGTTACCAGTTGTTGTATTTAAAAACCAGCATGTGAACTAGAACAAGCTAGAAGACGCGCCAGCCGGGCTGAGGCTCTGCAGAAACGGTTGAATTTCGGTTTCAGTTCTCCGGACTCGAGCGGCTGTGTGTGTCGATGTCCGCTGCTGCTGCTGCTGCTGCTATTTGAAGATCTGGATGCGTGATTGTAACCCAATCCAGTGTTGCCAGAACTCGCGAGAAAAGCAAGCAAGCTGGCCTGACGAGGAAACTAGTGAAAGTGGCGTATAATCACAGGGATCTGGCAACCCCGGCCCAGACTTGTTGGTTGCCAGATGTTGGTGAAACCCGAATCATTCATTATTTTAAAACGCATCAGTTGTCTTTAAAGATTTTAAATTTTTAATTAAGTTTTAATGTAGTCAGTAAAATAATTTGTAATAAACATAGAGGACTAAAAACCCACAGAAACCTGATTATTTAAAAAAACGCATTATTATTTTTAATTAAAAAAATGTTTTGTCTTTATCTATTAATGATTAAACCACTGTATTCTTTCTTTCTTTGTTTTTTTTTTTTATAATAAACGTACAATGTATTTAATGCGTGGTAGTTGTAAGCTATAGAAATCAAATTTAATTCATGCTTATATGAAATAAATATTCTGTTTTTATGAGACAATAAAATGTCGCGCTTTTTCGAATCGGTCCCACTGTGTTTGTCCTTCGTCGGTTTCCGTAGTTTGGCCCTCATAATAAACGCCTTACTGTCTGAGTAACCGGACGAGGAATATAAAGTATAATTGTTATTTTTATTATTAATAATGTGGTGTTTTTTATTTATTTATAAAAAATTTTTTTTCCCGCCATAAAACAAGAAGAAGAAGAAGAAGAAGAAGTAACCAACCAACCAACCCCCCCGCTTAAGAGGGCTGAGGGAGGACGGAGGAGCTGAACACGCAGCGCCGGATGAAGCTCTATGAAGTCTCTCAGCGGTACAAGAATCAAGGGTGTTTGCATGTGGGCTGGTAGGTTAATCAGGAGATTGTAGATAGAGTGTCAATGGTCCATTTGAGATATAGGTGGCGGTAATGCACTTATAAGTCTGCGATCCGCCGTAAAGCAACAACAACAAGAAGGAAGAAGAAGAAGAAGAAGAAGAACCAACCAACCAACCGGATGTGCGTGCTGAAGGTCGTGAATTAAACGGTAATATCGAGCTTGCTATACGCTTATAACAAAACTTCTATGGTGAAATCAGTATACATTTTAATAATATCACGTTGTTATGTTTTTCATAACGCTAAACAAGTATTTACATTTAACCAACGTGCCTCGTTTTTGAACTACGCTGGTCGTTTGGTCGTCAATGCTAGCTAGTGTTAGCTAGACAGAGCGTTCCGTGTCTCAAAAGGCACCAACTTTTTAATATTTATGTAAATATTTAAAATAAAAGAAAACTCGGCTTTGCGTCTGCATGCGCTTTATCACTTCTAGAGAAATGGTATGCAAATTTCATATTGGCTAAACCGCTCAAATCTAGAACTGCACCTAAGAGCACATTTGTATATTTATAACATTTTATCAGAATTGTTGATAAAGCCAGGTTCAAATTTTATGCTTCATTTGAACCTGGCTTTATCCAAAATTCATATTTGTGTTCTGGAAATGTATGCGAATTAGAGCTTTGATAGTGCATTATTTGCTTGTTTAAACAACATTTGTAGTACAAAACAGTTATCTTGATGTGCAGTGATTCATCAGATGGTGATCATATGGTGATGTATGTTAGTTTTTACTGTTTACCTGTGGTGTCACTTTGACTTACACTTTCTTCTTTCTTTACAGGTTATGGTCCCCCTGCATTCCTCCTCTACAACTGAATCTTTATAAGATGATCAGATATGAACATTGATGTCTGATGTTCTTATTAATATACAAATAAACTATTGACAACCATCATGCTGTAGTGACTTATTGGTACTTGTACATGAAAATAAATGTTGAAACCTGACATATCTTGTCAACATGTCTCTCACATGTTGTGTTTAACATGAAAATATACACTTTGAGTTTGAGACCCAAATCGTTGTCAAGGTTGTATGTTTAACTATCGTTTATGTAATTATTAACATAAATTAAAAACTTAAATCCAAACTCTGAATTGAACCCCAATATAGCAATAATGTTGCCTTAGTCCTTTCTAGAATATTTTCCAAGGTGCAAGCAAAGCATTTTTTTTTTAACTCAGTTTCAAGAAAAATATGAAAAATTGTTTTTGTGTCGATGTTCACCTTTAAAAAAAATCTGTGATTTAGTTTCAAATTTTTGTTTGTCCTTTTGACTTTTTTTTAGAGAAAAATCCACATGCTCACATTTGGTGTTTACCTAAATCTAATTTATTAATGGACTAATAATGTATACAAAAAGTACAATATTTGTTTACTTAAAAATGTGTAATACCATGGTATTTTTGAAACTGCATTGGTCTACCATATGAATACCATGACATTGCCACATTGTTTTTTCTTGATTAGAGGTCTTTTATTTTGACGTGCATTTTCCCAGTGTACTACCGCACAGGAAGTGCTTCGAACAAGAAAAGCGGAAGTTGTTGATGGACCAACTTGTTTTCTAATATAAGCTTTCTCACGGCCAATTTATACGTAATGCGTATGATTAGTAATATCGTACGACTACGGTTTCATTAATCTCGCCGATACGACTGCTTGTGTACACTGGGTGAGTTGTTTACTAGTCGTGATGGTTTAGGTTGTTGTCTTAGCGTTCTGTACATACGCCTTATCCGGGCCTTTGTGCCAGAGAGCCTGATAGTGGACAGCTTGTTTAGTGTGTTGTGGATTAAATATTGATTATTGTATATTTAGGCTAGATAATGTACAAACGAACCTTCTGTTAACACTCGGTAGGTAACACATGCTGTAAGTATTTGGCACCCCACAGATTTGACATGACAGCACTTTGCTGTATTAGAACAGAAATGATTACAATTATTGCATATAACTATATAATCTTCTAAAATATTATATGCGGGGCTAAAGATAGCATTTGCATTGATAATGCATTTTATTTACAAAAATGAGTTTTACGTTGTTTACGATATTTGAAATTGAGTTCCATGTCACTTCCAATGTGCATACATTTAAGTCCCATGTTATTGCCATGCAATGCTATCATGTTACCATGTTGCTATTACAGTACTTTTTTATGTATTATTATGTACTCGTATACCATGTGTCACTTAAATATTACTTCATGGTATTTCAGAGAATACTGTTACTACGCAAAACATGGTGTTTCCACATACAACCATAACAATATCATCGTATTTTTAGTTAAATTGCTTTAACAAACTGCTTTTTGTTAAATGTTGAATCAAGATTTGCATTTCCAGGAAGAATTATAAATGCTTTGAAGAAATGGAAATATTAGCAAGTTTTATTTTTGGTGTTGAATGACATATAGTCGTGATGGGCAATTTTCAAGCTTTAATTTTAAAATGTGTTTCAAAAGATAAATATGTATGGCATGCCTAAATGGTCTACTATACAACGGAAATTGTGTTCTTATGTGATGCATCTCGGGCTGAATTAAATGCAGAAAAGTTGAATAGACATAAAACTGAAAAGCTAAAAAATATATTAAGTAATTAAATGTAAAATTAAAATAAATCTTTTTAAATTCAGAATACAACACAAAAATTGTTTATATATTTTATTTAATTATCTGCCTGTCTATTTAAATATATTATAAATAGAAATGTATTCATGTGATGCAAAGCTGAATTTTCTTCAGTGTCACATGATCTTTCAGAAATCATTCCAATATGCTGATTTGCTGCTCAAGAAACATTTCTTCTTATTAATGTTGAAAACAGTTTTGCTGCCTGCTTTATATTGAATGGAAACAAGTAATAATCATAGATATAGAAATAGTTTATTATTCATGGTTTTAAATTACCTATGCAGTTATATAATGATAGTTCTGGTATAATATATATTTGTATTTGTTGTTATCATATTCACAGGTGCCCGGGTGGATCTGTGATCTGCATCCGTCTACAGTCTGAGCTCTTCTCCTTCTTGCACTATACCTCTGAACACTCATACGACCTCCATCTCTGTCTCCCACATGAGCGCAGCATTCTATTCCCGCTGGGCTGAGCGCCATGCCTGACCGGGATAGCGCCTACCTGGCAGGTGGCAGCGGGACGGGGGTGGGCACTGGGCTCGGGGACGAGGGAGGGTCTGGGACGGGTGGAGAGGGTAGAGCGACAGGGGTTGGCGGCTCAGCGGGGGGTAACGGAGGTCCCGGGGCCATGGGAGGCGGCGGGGCGTTAGGAAACGGTGCATTTGGCTCCGGTTTGGGACTGGATGGCGTTTGCCGGGATTTTTTGCGTAACGTGTGCAAGCGTGGCAAACGCTGCCGCTTCCGGCATCCGGACTTCAACGAGGTTCCCGATTTGGGCGTGCAAAAGAACGAGTTCATCTTCTGCCATGACCATCAGAACAAAGAGTGTGTGCGCACCAACTGCAGATTCGTGCATGGCTCGAAGGAAGATGAGGACTATTATAAGAAAACCGGAGAGCTTCCGCTTCGGCTCAGGGGGAAGGTGGCGGCCGGGTTGGGATTGTCTCCGACCGACCTCCCGTTGAGCCGCGGAGAGGTGCCTATTTGCAGGGACTACCTGAAAGGAGAGTGCCAACGGGGCAATAAGTGCAAGTTCCGGCACGTCAGGAAGGATTATGAGTATGAAGCCCCATCCCGGAGTGGAGTCGGGTGTATGATGGGCGTCACTGGTGGCGTCAGTGGGATGGTGAATGCCGGCAGCGGTGGAGCAGTAGGTGTTGGCGGTGCCTGCGGCGGGATGTCTGGCCTCGTTGGCGGCGGTGTTGGTAACTACATGGGAATGGGATGTCCCAACATGGGCGGCTGCAGAGAGCAGGTCATGTCTGGTGGAGGTGGGGGCTCATTGAGTGGCTGCATGTCGATGGGAACGGTGGGTCATCGGCGCTATGACAGGGGCCCTTGCTCTGTCTATGACCCTCTGTTTGAGAATGGTATGTTTGAAGTGGGGCCGGTGGAGGCGCCTGTTGACCACACGACCCTGCAGCTGAAGAGACGGCGTTTGGAGGGGCTGCGGTTGACTGATGGAACCGGTGGTGGACATTATGACCTGGGGGTTCAGACCACCCTGTTGACTCGACCGTTAGAGTACCGCTTACTGGAAGAGGAGAACGCCCTGCTGAGGAAAAGAGTGGAGGAGCTTAAGAAACAGGTGAACAGATGTTAAATGTACTCATTCACTCACTCTCGTGTTGTTGCAAACCTTCCTTTCTTCAGTGGAATACAAAGGAAGATACATCTCTGTCTCTGTTGAGTTTGGGGCTGCAAAAATTATATAGTCCTAAAAAAGGCGCTTAAAAACTGCCTTACCTTTCCAGTCTCATTCTGGTCAAATATGGTGCTTTAAGATGCATTGTGCCTGATTTTTTTACAGCAGAAAAGATTTTTTGCTTTTTTTGCAGTATTATTTTAGTGTTATTTATATATTATTATAGTATTTATATTTTGAAAGAGCTTTTAATTTTACATTTTCAGTTTTCATTTTAGTTTGTTTTAGTCATTTTGGTACTTCAGCTATCATTTATTTTTATTTAGTTCATTTGTAAATTTCTAAATAAATTAATTTTAATAGTTTGTTTTAATTTGAGTTCACAATAAAAACTGTTTTTGTGGGGAGGCACCAATATTAAAATTCTGTATTATTTTGCCTAAATAACCTAAAAATAAAACAAATATAAGTAGTTATAAATGTTACGAGTGAATTAAGGGTTCATTATTATAATTTTCAGTGTAAAAAAATTAATACTCAGTTTTGATTACAAAAGATTACATTAACGTTAGCTAAGGATTTAACTTTAATCTTTTTTGATGAGTGATAGCAGGTACAGATGCATGATGTATAATGCAGATGTACAATACCGCATCCCTACGTTTTTGTCATTTTTGGAGATTGACAGTCCCATCTTTAACTTTACTTTTTAAACTCTGGACATTCTGCGATCGATCATCTTTTAAATGTCCACAGATGACAGAAAATAATACAGATTTTGAATGTCTTTGCTGACCTCTTATGCAATTGAGACCCATCCTCTGCATTATAAATCCTGCAAACAAAACATGCAAATCATCTCCAAATTGTACTTTATCTTAAGATAATTTTTAGGTGTAGCATCCCACATGTCTTTACTGTGAAGATTCAAGTTAAGTTCTCAAAACTCACATCTTCCTCTTTTTCTCCAGGTGTCCAATCTCATAGCCACCAACGAGGTCCTCCTGGAGCAGAACGCTCAGTTCCGAAGCCAGGCTAAAGTGATGACGCTGTCTTCCACCCCCGCTCCGTCTGAGCAGAGTCTGGTGCCCCCTGTTGGTTCTATCAGCTCCTACAACCATGGCATCGCTCAGACACACACCACTCTGAGCAGCGCTGGTCTGCAGCCCCGTCCCGTCACGCAGCAGGATCTGGTGGCCCCGGCTGGAGCACCGACCGCCCCTCCAGCCAATGCAGTGCCCCCTACCGCACCCCCTCCGCATCTGAACCCCGACTCCATCTCTGCCGCCCTTGCTCAGACTATCGCCCAGGGAATGGCTCCACCTGTTTCCATGGCCCCTGTTGCGGTTTCGGTAGCACCGGTCGCTGTGTCGATGGCACAACCGCTGCCGGGCATCACGATGAGCCATGCGACCGCACCGATGGTGTCGTATCCCATCGCCAGTCAGAGTATGAGGATCACAACCTTGCCTCATTAGTATGAACAGATGTTTTCAGCAATTCTCCTAACACCCTTTTGTTTAACTTACCAATAACACGGTAAGTTTCTCAGGTGAAGGGTCTGTTTTGACTGAAAGAACTTACAGATTTCTGTATAGACAAAATACAGATCTTCTCTTTTGAATATATGAAACATATTTCAGTTTTCTTGCCACGCTTTAGCAGATGATTGCCTTTAAGAGAGCCGAAGAAAGATTCCTTTGAGATTGTGGACATTTATTAACTCATTTTGAAAGATGTAACTATTCAGCTAATCACTACAGGATTGTGAATCGACTTGTTAGCTGTCAGTTTTAGTTTGACTCCTTTTTTTAATAGTTTGTTTTGTGAATTGCTTTCGTGTTCTCATTAGTATGAACAGATGTTTTCAGCAATTCTCCTAACACCCTTTTGTTTAACTTACCAATAACACGGTAAGTTTCTCAGGTGAAGGGTCTGTTTTGACTGAAAGAACTTACAGATTTCTGTATAGACAAAATACAGATCTTCTCTTTTGAATATATGAAACATATTTCAGTTTTCTTGCCATGCTTTAGCAGATGATTGCCTTTAAGAGAGCCGAAGAAAGATTCCTTTGAGATTGTGGACATTTATTAACTCATTTTGAAAGATGTAACTATTCAGCTAATCACTACAGGATTGTGAATCGACTTGTTAGCTGTCCGTTTTAGTTTGACTCCTTTTTTAATAGTTTGTTTTGTGAATTGCTTTCGTGTGAACTGATTATTGGTCTTTTGCACAAAAGTAATGAATCTGACCCATTAAGCACCATTATTAATTCTTGTATTGTTTTTCACACAACAAAACATGTGGGCATTTTGGAAACTAAATAACTGCATTTTTCTGTCTAAATATGGGGCATGTTTCGTTCATCTTTAGTGAGTATCTTGTTGATGAAAAATTATATTTCTTATCAAACCAAACTTCTTTTATGAGTTTGATCACTTTCTCATGTTCTGTTGAGCATAACGTCTGTTGTTTGCACTCTCAGGCCTGTTCACTTATGATCAGATCACCACAGACAGATATGGGAGTAACTAGATTTGTAAATATTATAGTAGAAATCACCGTTTCACTTCTTATGTTTAAAAATATTTTCCTCATGCTCAATTAAAACAGAGTAGACAGTTTTATGTAAAAGTTAGATAGGAAATTCACAGCATTTTATAATGTTTTGTATCTGGAAATCACTTTATTGCTCATAATCCGTTCTCATAAGTGAACTGTCATCTTTTAGTATTTGCTTGTGATGTTTTTAAGCTAATATATAAGGTTTGGGAAACTTTGGGGTCTTTCTGATTAAAGGTAGAGTGATTAACTATTAAGGTTATCATGCAAAAAGTACCAGCATGAAAAGTGCATTTAATTTGACCAGTTCTCAAGCTCCTTTCTTTCTTGAATCTGATAATCCACCAGCATTAGGCCTGCAGGACACAAGCACATCTGGATGCTCTGGAACAGACAAACTGGATAGTGTCTATATTGGAAGCCATATATGAAATCTAATGTGAATGAATACAGATTTTGACGGCTGGTATCAGAGCGTCTATATTTTCAGGCTTCTTTTACTGTCTTTAAAGGGGTCATATGATGTTGCTAAAAAGAACATTATTTTGTGTATTTGGTGTAATGAAATGTGTTTATGCAGTTTAAGGTTAAAAACCCAAATTATTTTCCACATACTGTACATTATTGTTTCTCCTCTATGCCCCGCCTTTCTGAAATGCGTCGATTTTTACAAAGCTCATCGTTCTGAAAAAGCAAGGTGTGCTGTGATTGGCCAGCTATCCAGTGTGTTGTGATTGGCCGAATACCTCAAGCGTGTGATGGAAATGTTACGCCCCTTACCACATTGTGACGATGCCCTGTCAGGCCGGAGCGATGGTTTAAAAACATGAAAACCCATTATAAACGAGGCATTCGTTGCATCCAGTGGGGACATAATTATGGATTATAAAGACTTGTACTGTCTTTTTACGCGTTGCGTTGCCATGTCTGCATTTGTGATCGGAGAAATGACAAACAACAAGCCCTACTCTACTCTGGCGATCCACAGCGAAGTTGTTGTATTTCCTCAGCGACCAGCACAGATCAGCTCCAAGCATGACGAAGCGGATATCACAGCGTCTTCACAACATGGCGGCGGCAACAACAATACTACAGCGAGAATAAAAGTTACGCCTTCTTTCTTTGCGTGAACATTTGGGCGGTGTTATGCAAATCTTCCCACATAGTGACGTAGACATGTGGGGGCGTGTTAGAACCAGCCGTTTTCGGTAGGCGTGGTTAACCCTTAACTTTTATAAAGAATATCTCTTTGGATTTGAGACTTTAGTCTTTGCAACTTTACAGATCTTCTTTATGCACCAAGAGCTTGTAACACTCCAAAGAAAAAGGAAAACTTGAAATCGCATCATATGACCCCTTTAAAATCATTACTAGCCAGTTTTGACTAGTAAAATTTCATTTCAAAGAGTAATAACAATTTAATAGATCTGTAATATAGTTTAAGCTATCAGAAAATGGTTTGCGATCATGACTATAGCTAATGCATTCAGGATATGTTGCATACCATTTCTTGTCAAAAAGTGGAATTTATTTCAGAATTTGGAGCTAACTGTAATTGGATGAACAAAGAATCAAAAAGATCCCATTAGATAAATTGAAAGTAATTTTTGTCTTTTTTTATTTAAACTAGCCTGCATTAGATATGTTCACCTGTAATTACGACTAGTCAAAATTGCATTATAGATATCTTAAACGTAAACTATCACTAGGCAAATATGCATTCCAGATATCTTATTTTTAGTTTTGGCTAGTCACAACTGACTTGTTTGATTCATTAGGAAAGGTTTTACTATTATGATGGATGATTGATTAGCATTTCTTTAGGATTTGTTTTTAAGCAAGTGATTTTAACTAGTCAAAATGTAATCAGATACATAAACTGTAAAAGATAACTTCAATCATTATTTCATTAGATATCTTATATGCAAATGAATACATAATGAAACATTCCAGATACCTTGCATTAGATTTGACTAGTCAAACATGAAGAAAACTAGCTATTATCATTCCATTATTCTGTATTTGGTCACTAGAACTAGTCAGAACTGACTCGTGAGATGTAAAGCTAGAAGCTTTAAAGGAAGAAATTGCCTACTGCAGCTTCCAACAAAGTTTTCGCCCCTTTTTACACAACTGCGTCGTTTTTCTGTGGGCGTGGATCTGCCTAAATAACGGTGCGGGCCACACTTCAGGGTTTTCAGACAGAGACACTGCAAGAAGGAAAAACAGCGTCATGCCAGAAGGGTAAAAGCGGCGAAGGGGGTCGTTTTCGCTTTCTCGGGTTGACTTATTGATCCGCAGTGATCGGGCACATCTTCATCTGCAGTCTTTCCCTGCAACGTTAGTCCATGCACGAAGAAAACTCTCGACTTTAATTAAGTCACAGCAGATGTTGAATTTGAGGTGCGAATCGCTGCGCGCGATCGCTTTGTAATCGTATCACGACTTTGGACAAATTTGCGTACAAACTAACAGACCACAATGTCGCACGTTGATTCAGGGCCGAAAAATGACTCGGACTCGGAAAAGAAGTGTGAACCAGCCCAGGACACTTCATCAGGAGAAATGGACGTCCCTAAAACTAAACTCTTTGATGCCAAGGCAATCTTATGGACTTTTGGCAAATGTCTCACTACTTCATGACAACTGTGAGGGGGGTGAATTTTTTTATAACTCAACTTCAATTTCTGCATAATTAAGGGCGTGGCCACTTGAGTGACATGTGGATTGCCGCTGCTGTCACCACCGTCGAGATAGGTGGGCGTGGTTTCACCAACCAGCTCCCGCCTCTCTGCCCATTTTTGATTATCCGGGAAAGACGCGCTGCCACGATGGCTCCGCCCACTTTGAGCTTCAAAAACGCTCTTCGGAAACCTACAGCTGACGTCACGGACACTACGTCCATGTTTTTATACAGTCTATGTATAAACATTCCATGAACGATGTATAATAAAAAAAACAAAAAACTGACATGCTCTGACATAAAATATGACACTGCCTTCCTGTCTGTTTTTCAAGGTTATCCAGCAGGCCTGGCCGTATATTGGTCAGTATTTGGAGAAGCTGCTGATGGAAACCATTGCTCCATCCATCCGTGGCTCCAGCAGTCATCTGCAGACACTCAGCTTCACGAAGGTCGACTTTGGTGGCAAGGTCATACATGCACACTCACTCGCTCACTGCTACACAAGTAATAATATTCCAGTGCAACATTCTCACACATCTCAATCCACCACAGTGCAAGAGATCAAAGCCACTGAAACATGTCAGAACAAGCATTCTTGTTCTTGAATCTTGTTCAAATAAATGCTCTTGAGGATGTTATCAGCCTCATGGCAAACTTCCTTTGATGTTAAAAGGATTATAATTATAAGACGGTGAAATTGTATATTTTGCTGCAGTATATTTTGTTCATTAACATAGCTAACAGAATTATGATGTTTTAAAATAGCTGATGAAAAGTTATTCATGAAACCATCAACATTTAAAATAAAAAAAGTACATCATTTGAAAATAAAGTCAATCAAAATAAAACACTGCATGTCATATGACTATTAAACAAGATCAGAGAACCTTAAACATGGAAATGTGTTGTTGAATTATTAAAATATGAATTCTCAGGTGCTTCAAGTAAATATTTTAGGTCTAATGTTTGGGAATCCCTGTAGTTAAAGTGCCCCTATTATGGATTTTTGAAAATTACATTTCATGCAGTGTGTAACACAGCTCTAAGTGAATGAAAACATCCTGCAAAGTTTTAAATCTGAAAGTGCACCGTGTAAAAAGTTATTGTCTCTCAAAAGAAAGAGTCGACTCTGAATCATTGAAACGAGTCGTTTTTTAAACGAATCCCAAGCCGTTTCATGTTGATGTCAACATGAAACATTAGCATATTGCCCGCCCACTTGTTGGTCAGAATGAAAACGCAAATTCATTCTTTGCCACTAGGTGCCGCTTTTGGAGCGGTAAAAATAGCGGTAACGCTGTACACAAAGCAGCACTGCGCTCACAAACACTGCTTTATCAGGCATTACAGACATGATGAAATTAAACTGAGACCAATTGATCAATCACCGCAGATTAGCGTCACGCAAAAAAAGGGTTTGGAAAAATGAATCATTGAGCGAATCGTTTGGGAGTCGTTGAGCAAGTAAGGTAAAAATAAATGCATATTATAAGAAAATGAAAGAGTTTTTTGACCTTGCATGCATGTCAACCTGTTGTTGGGGACTCCCAAAACCAAAATATGAACCTTTCATTACCCATAATAGGGGCACTTTAAGAAATTAAAAGTTAAAATATTTAACTTAAAATCATAGGTGGCAGGTAAATATTTTAGGGCGAATGGATTTTGGAATACCGGAACTATTCTAATCCATAAAGAAACAACTGATTGATAAATTTTGCTTGATATTACAGTATTGCCTGCACATTTTTACATTTTTATTTTAGAACTTTCTTTCATTTTACAGCCGATGAAGGTGGTTGGAGTGAAGGCCCATACAGAAAATGAGAAAGGTCAAATTCTGCTTGACGTTTACATCAGGTGACGCATACAGCTTTACATCTACATTTGAGATCCTCTGCATAAATGAGGTCCTGTAATAATGAGTGAATTGTCTATTGTCTCTCAGGGAGTGATTCAAAACTCTTGTGTACTTGATATCGTGTCTGTATTTCACAAGCTGACAAAACAAGACTGTCAAACAGCTGCCAACTCAAATTTGTTTATTCAGAGCAAAAATGAGAGTACATCCTATTGAAAGCCTCAATTTCAGTTCATTTTTAGTTTAGGGTTTAGTTGGCTGGGACCAATTCAGCAGAATTGTTAAGGTCATTGAAGTCAATCGAAAGTTTCCTCTCTGCTGTCTTTTCCCAGTTACGTGGGGGATGTTGAGATAAACGTGGAGGTGAAGAGGTATTTCTGCAAGGCTGGTGTGAAGGGAATACAGGTGAGATTCTGCATTTGTGACAGTGGATTTGTTGCACAGTCCCAATAAATAAATAAATGAGTTTCATTTTTATTAAGAGAGTTTATTTCATTTTCGTTTGTTCTCTCAGCTTCATGGAATGATGCGTGTGATTTTGGAGCCGCTGATCGGTAATGTCCCAATCGTGGGCGCTGTGACCATGTTCTTCATTCAAAGACCTGTAAGTTCTATAAGGGTTCTTCAGTGGTTCTATGGCTGTATATGCTTCTTGAGTTGACTAGATGGTTCTTTGGATATTAAAATGTTGTTGCATGACATTATGGGTTTTTCAAATATAGTAGTATGGGGTTTCCCAAACTTGGGTATGTAAACGGTAAAATTACAATAAATAATACATTTTTCAAATAAACACGATTAAAACAATCGCTAAAAAGATTTTTTTTGTTTACCTACTTGTCAATTGTCATGTGACCATTTACCAACATCAGAGTACCATAAATATGCAAATGTGTTGTTTAAAATCTCAGGTGGTACTTCAAGTAAATATTTTATGTTTGGGAACGATTTTACTCTTTATTTTACAATATGTGCATTTACGTGTACTTGAAATATACTTCAAAAAGTACTGGGTAATATAAGGTAACCGCATGGGTTAAGGTTAGGCTTTGAGGCAGGTTCTGGTTTAATACCTAGTTATTTCCCAGTTAATTACTAAAATAAGTACATAGTATGTGCATGCAGAACAGGACTGTAAAAAGTGCTACCCAGTTTTATATAACATTTTTTTTTTTTAGCTTTACAAGTTTCTTCTGGGTTCTTCTTTCTTTAAGCAATTCTGGAACCTTTTAAGTGTTTATTATTTCATTAGTACTCAAGTCAGAATGTTAGTTTTGTTAGAATCATGTAATCTTCTCCTTTGCCTTTGTTAGAAACTGACCATTAACTGGACCGGTTTGACCAACCTGCTGGACATTCCAGGACTCAAGTGAGTTACAGTCATTACAGATACACAATAAGATGTTATTCGGTTCAGTACACTCACTGTCCTGAGCTGCCTCCTTTTTGGTGAGTTTCTCTCTGAATCTATTTCACACCTTCTATCTCTGATTCTGTTTCTCAGTGTGATGTCAGATACTATGATCATGGACGCGATTGCGTCATTCCTGGTTCTGCCCAATCGTCTCACTGTTCCTCTAGTGGCAGACCTACATGTGGCACAGCTGCGGTGCCCTTTACCCAGGGTAACACACACACAGACACAGACACACACACACAAACACACACACAGGTTTGTTTTTGTGAAACGTGGGGACATCCCATAGGCGTAATGGTTTTTATACACCACCCCTACCCCTAAACCTACCCCTTACAGGAAACTTTGTGCTATTTCAGATTTTCAATACACTCCATTCTGTGTGATTTATAAGCGTTTTGAAAAGTGGGGACATGGGGTAATATCCTGAAAAGTCACCTTCTCCTTGTAATACCTATGTTATACCCTTGTCATTATACTAATTTATGTCCTCATTTGTCACAAAAAACGCGCGCACACACACACACACACACACACACACACATACAGACAGACAGACCTTTACAAATGACCATATACACATTAGAATCAACATTAAAGCAACAACACTCAAATACATAATACTTTGGTTTTTGCAATTGAAATGTAAACTAGTGTTCAATAGTTTGGGCCCACCAAGTCTGCATTTATTTTTTCAAATATAGTAAAAACAGTAATATTGTTTAAGATTATTACAATTTAAAATCACCTTATTTGAATATATATTTAATGTAATTTAGTAATGGTAAAGCATCATTACTCCAGTCTTCAGTGTCACTTGATTCTTCAGAAATCATTCTAATATGCTGATTTGATGTTAAAAATGAAAACATTTCTCTGCCCTGCAGTCTCATTCTGTGCATCTTTCTTTATGAAGGGAGTTGTGCGCATTCACTTGGTGGAGGCTGATGGCCTGGCTTCGAAGGATAACAGTGTGATGGCGGGTATGTCTGACCCGTATGCCGTGCTCAGAGTCGGCCCGCAAACCTTCAAATCCCGCCATCTGGACAACACGCTCAGTCCCAAATGGGATGAAATGTATGAGGTGCGTGTTAAAATGACACCACATTATAATAAGAACAAAAAAGCAGTAAGATTTGATATCAATGTATGATGTAAATGTGATGAACATCTTATTCTCATGTGTATCTGTGTCTTTCAGCTCAAATGTAGAACCATTTACGCCACATTTTGTCTTTGATTACTCATGCTGTTACTGTAGGTGTGTGTTTGGTGTTTCATGCATGCGTGTGTGTCTGTCAGGTCATCGTTCATGAGGTGCCTGGTCAGGAGCTAGAGGTGGAAGTGTTTGATAAAGATCCTGATCATGATGATTTCCTGGGCAGGTACCATGTCACTGTCTATCCGTCTCTCATTTATTCTTTAAAAGGGGTCATATCTTACTTTTTGTTCGCCCTGAAGTTCACGTGTAATGTTAGTCAAGGTTTGTTGCAGCTAAAAACTTTTTCATTCCAAAAGTTTCTGAAAAATGCATCATGATATGACCTCTTTTGTATAGATCTGTTCCAGATTTTCATTTTCTAAACATTAATTCGTAATGTCCTATAACTATAAACGATCATTACCATAAACTCACCTTTGTTTTTAGCTGTTTGCTGATCTCACACTATTCTCATCTTTGCATTGCTTCTCTTTATTTCACTTGTGCGCAGAACAAAGTTAGACTTGGGGATTGTGAAGAAATCTCAAATAGTGGATGAGGTGAGAAAGTTTATTAATATTCCAGTGCACTGTTTTCTCCTGTGTGTGGTTTGGTTTGCAAGTCCATGCATATCTTTCACCACATGATGTGAATTTTATATTAATGAACCAATCTGTTACAAACCACTAAAATCATAACCCATGTTTTGTATATTGCCGTTATTATCGTTTATGAATATGATTATGACATGGATGAATGCTTGATTCTGATTGGCCCATTATGGCATTCTCCAGTCAAATATTTTAATGATGAGGAACTTTTATTTACTGATTTTTATAACTCTTGCAGTGTTATCAGTAACTAAAACTAAAACTTTTCGGTAATTGGTATAAAGCTGAAATAAAATAAACCTTATAAAACTTGAACATTTTGCCTTGAAATAAAGTTAAAGCTGAAGTATTAAAATTACAAAAAGTAAAACTGGAAAAAAAAAAGAAATATAAAAATGACAAAAGCACGTAACACGATTACAAAAACTTTAATTAAAATAAAAACTGAAAATAAAAAAGCTAATTAAAATTATTAATGAATACTATAATAGTACATAAATAATACAAAATTAACACTGATCTCATACCACTCTATGCTCTCTTTTCTTACATAATAAAACATTTTTAGCTGAAAGTAAGATTTATTTGTTTATTTGGTAAGTCGCTGTGTAACGTGTTCATTATTGCAAAATAAATCCTGACAAGGTTGTGAGTCTTTTGCAATTACGACCAGCTTATTTATTGAACATTGATGTCTTTTTTCACAATATCAGTCATAAGTTTGTTGTAGTCTGTATTAATGTCTCCTTCTTAGTGGTTCACGTTGAAGGACACCCCTACAGGACGGGTTCATCTCAGACTGGAGTGGCTAACGCTAGAAACCGACACAGAGCGACTGGAAGAGGTCTTGCAACACTGCACATACACAGAACACAGGGGGTTTTGTTGGAAATGGGTGTGCTCTGTTCAACACACATGCAAACAGTGTGTTCGTCTACTCCACCCGTTATCCAATCCCAGGAAACCTCAAATGTGTTTAGAGATTGAAAGCTTGAAATACAAACAGAATTTCTTGCAGTTGGTTTGCTCCTCCCTACATTGCCCTCATTTTTTTTCTCTCCCGCTCAGGTTCTGAAGAGAAATGAAAGTGTGGTGAGTAAAACAGCAAAGCCGCCCTCAGCAGCCATCTTGGCAGTGTATCTGGACAAGGCTGAGGCACTTCCTGTGAGTAATACTCTCACATCCTCTTCCTGCTGCACTCTCTGTTCTAACGCACACACCACACACACATATTGTCCCCACAGACAGGTGTGTTAAATCTGGCTAAAACCTGCTTTTGTGGACATCTGGGCATGTCATTGATTGGAAAAATTATTCATAAATAAAAATATTGTGCTTTTAACATTTTAAAATGGTAAAAGTAAAAATTAGCTTTAAATAAAATAAAATAATGATGTTTTTATATTTAGCTTTATATGACAACAACGGAAGTTTAAGGCTGCGTATATTTGATCAAAAATGCAGTAAAAAGAGTAACATTATGAAATATTTTTACAATTTCAAATGACAATTTTCTATTTTAGTTTACTTTAATATGTAATTTATTCCTGTGACGCAAAGCTGAATTTTCAGCATAATTTCTCCAGTCTTCAGTGTCACATTATTCTTCAGAAATCGTTCGAATATGTTGATTTGATGGTCAAGAAACATTTCTAATTATCAACGCTGAAAACAGTTCAAATGAAACCATGATGAATAGAAATCTCAAAAGAACAGAAATGAAAATTGTAACATTATGAAATATTTTTACAATTTCAAATGACAATTTTCTATTTTAGTTTACTTTAATATGTAATTTATTCCTGTGACGCAAAGCTGAATTTTCAGCATAATTTCTCCAGTCTTCAGTGTCACATTATTCTTTCAGAAATCGTTTGAATATGTTGATTTGATGGTCAAGAAACATTTCTAATTATCAACACTGAAAACAGTTCAAATGAAACCATGATGAATAGAAATCTCAAAAGAACAGAAATGAAATTGTAACATTATAAATGTCACTTTTGATCAACTGATTGTGTCCTTGCCAAATAAAATATGAATTTCTTTAAAAAGAAAAAGAAATCAAGCCCTAAACCTTTGAACGGTTGTGTATGTGGGTCTGATTTTCTCGCCTTTGTACCTGAAAAGGAAGTGAAATCTGAACTTACTCTACTTTGTGGACAAGCCAACAGTCCCTTTAAGGAAAATTGCTTAATAAACATACTAAATAATGTCTCAATGAATGTCTGAAAATTTTTCTGTGAGGGTTAAATGTAGAGTTAGGGTCTAGAAAGCATAATTAGTGCAGTATAACAAACAATAGAAGTCAAAGGAAAGCCCCACCATGATGGTAAAAGCAAACGTCCATGTGTGTGTGTGTGTGTGTGTGTGTCTGTCTGTGTGTGTGTGTGTGTGAATGCCTCTGGTTACCCACAACCTGCCATTTCCCTTTTACGTTTGGCAGCAGACCGGCAGACGCCCAACTCTGAAACAGAGTAAAAGGAGGACTGCAGCCATGTCTACAGAAACTATTAAGTGTAACTCTAGATTATATAACTTCACTTATTCGGCTTATTTCACTTTGTGAAAGCACTTGCACTGTTTCCCGCATCCAGAATATTTTACCAGAAGTGCAAGGGCAAAAGAGGTTACTTAGAGGAACACACTGATACTTAAAACACTTGAAAAAAGTACGCGCTTGCATCGAGTGAACATCCCAAAGCGCTCAAGCTTACAGTGCTGTGGTCTGGAGGATTTCAAATGAATGTTCTGGCTTCATTGTGTGTTCGGTTTTTCTGTTGTATGATGTCAGTGATCACAGATAATAATTTAGACTCGTTCCTGGGTTCTCAAGCAAAAATTGTGTTTGCAGTAATCCACTCATTGTATAATGAAAGTCTATGGGGATTTACTCTGTGAGAAAAGTAAAAAGCTCCACCTGAAATCATGTGCTGTCAGTATATGTACTGCATTTGACAAAGAAGTTAATTCTTGACCACCAATAAAGTGCATTTTATCATGTATGCATTCATGGTATCAATATAATAGTGTCAAAATATATCGTATTTCATGATTACTGGATATTTACATATGCTGCTCATTTGGCATACCGCTTTTCTCATGATGTTCAGATGAAAGTGTACAGTATTTCGAGTATGTAACATAATATTTAAACGTTCAAAAGTTTGACGTAAGATTTAAAAAAAAGAAATGAATAATTTTATGCAACAAAGATGCATTAAGTTGTTCAAATATGACAGTAAAGCCAGTTACAAGGTAAGAACAGATTTCTGTTCAGCAAATAATCCTGATTCCTCAAAAATACAAAGCAGCGCAACGGTTTTCATCATTGATAATAATAAGAAATGTTTCTTGAGCAGCAAATCAGCATATTAGAATGATTTCTGAAGGATCATGTGACACTGAAGACTGGAGTAATGATGCTGAAAATTCAGCTTTGATCACAGGAATAAATGACATTTTAACATATATTCAAATAGAAGACGGTTATTTGAAATTGTAAAAATATTCTACAATATTACTGGCTTTACTGTATTTTTGATTAAATAAATGCAGCCTTGGTGAGCATAAGAGAGTTCTTTCAAAAACATTAAAAATATTACCGACACTGAACTTGGTGTATAGAATCACTTACTAACTGTATTTGTGCTCTTCAGGCAGTTCCTTTGACCTCGTGATTCTCATTTGCTCTGACATGCACTGTGAGTTGTAAGGTCTTATATAGACAGGTGTGTGGCTTTGCTAATCAAGTCCAATCAGTATAATCACACACAGCTGGACTCAAATGAAGGTGTAGAACCATCTCCAGGATGATCAGAAGAAATGGACAGCACCTGCGTTAAATATATGAGTGTCACAGCAAAGGGTCTGAATACTTAGGACCATGTGATATTTCAGTTTTTCTTTTTTAATAAATCTGCAAAAATGTCAACAATTCTGTGTTTTTCTGTCAATATGGGGTGCTCTGTGTACATTAATGAGGGAAAAAAATGAACTTAAATGATTTTAGCAAATGGATGCAATATAACAAAGAGTGAAAAATTTAAGGGGGTCTGAATACTTTCCGTACCCAATGTATATGAATGAGTTAAAGTTTGTACCTGTTTCTTCTGATTTCCAGATGAAGAAAGGCAATAAGGATCCCAATCCGATCGTTCAAATCGGAGTGCAAGATGTTACTCGTGACAGCCGGGTAAAACGCACACCTACTATCCGTCCCAAATAATCTTTCCCATGTGACCCGCTCTTCTCGCTCACTTATTTCCCTTCCTCCAGATTTGCTGGAATACGGTGAACCCCCAGTGGGAGGATGCTTTCACTTTCTTCATCAGAGATCCAAGCAAGCAGGACATTAACGTACAGGTATCCTAACATCATCTGCCTGGTTTTCTAACCGTCTTCTGACCTGTTTACAATCCGACGGCTCTAAATACTGTTCAAATAAATATTCGAATACTGACCGTGTTTGTCTCCAAATGTGAATTTTGCTAGTTCTTAGTACATTTTCCATCTCTTTCAGGTGAAGGATAATGACCGTGTTCAGGTTTTGGGAAGTCTGTCCGTTCCTGTTTCCCGTCTTCTCTCTTGTCAAGATCTGAATTTGGATGAGTGGTTCAATCTGGAGAATTCTGGTCCAAAGAGCCGCATCCACATCAACACAGTGCTCAGGGTAAATTCATCTGACACACGATACGCAAGCTTGAGTACACAATATATCACACACACGCGTTTGTATCAAAGCTGAATTTTCAGCTTCATTACTCTTCAGTGTCTCATGATCCTTCAGAAACTATTCTAATATGCAGCTCAAGAAACATGTTGTGCTGCTTCATATTTTTGTGGAAACCATAATACACTTTTCAGGATTTTTTTGATGAATAGAAAATTTAAAAGAACAGCATTTGAAATTGAAATCATTTTGAACATTCTAAAAGTCACTTTTAATCAATTGAACGCATCTTTGCTGAATAAAAGTATTAATTTATTTTTTAAAAACTGCTTAAACAGTAGTGTACAGATTTCAAATCTATTATATTTGGAAAGACTCTCATTCGGTGTTGATGTCATTTCCTGCAGGTGCTCTGGTTGAATGAAGCCGCTGCAGCTGCCTCTCTCCTCTCCAGTGACCCTCTTTCAAAGAGTTCTGCCTCTCGTCCACAGAAGACGACGCCCCATCCCAGCTTCGCCACTGAGGTGTGCAGATCCATTAGTCAGCACTATCAATATCTCTGTGCTATTAATAATGTATCGCATTAGCCATACGAGTACTGAAATCAACATCCAGTCGATCATAACCAACCCTAAAATCATCTGTCCTTTGTTCCTGTAGGGGATGCTGCGTATCCACCTCGTGGAGGGTCAAAATCTGGTCGCGAAGGACAATCTTATGGGTGGGATGGTGAAGGGCAAGAGTGACCCGTATGTCAAGATCCAAGTCGGAGGTGAAACCTTTAAAAGTCAAGTGATCAAGGAGAACCTCAACCCCGTCTGGAACGAGATGTATGAGGTGGGACTGCTGGGAAATACATTTAGAAATCAACTCTAGGCACTATGGCTTTGTCTGGAATGGCATGCTGCCATACTACTCATGCAATTTATGCCGTTTTTAGTATGTACGTATATTTTATATTTTCTTTAGCCATGCAGCCATTTGCTAAAAAAATGCTGTATACAATCAAAGTCATTTTCATAAAAAACTTGAATCACAAATATAAAAGAACCGTATTTATTTCCAAAATGATAACTGGATATGACATATTGAATTAAATAGGCATAATATATTTATGTTTATTTGTTTTAAAAACATGGTGAAGGGCAAGAGTGACCCGTATGTCAAGATCCAAGTCGGAGGTGAAACCTTTAAAAGTCAAGTGATCAAGGAGAACCTCAACCCCGTCTGGAACGAGATGTATGAGGTGGGACTGCTGGGAAATACATTTAGAAATCAACTCTAGGCACTATGGCTTTGTCTGGAATGGCATGCTGCCATACTACTCATGCAATTTATGCCGTTTTTAGTATGTACGTATATTTTATATTTTCTTTAGCCATGCAGTCATTTGCTAAAAAAATGCTGTATACAATCAAAGTCATTTTCATAAAAAACTTGAATCACAAATATAAAAGAACCGTATTTATTTCCAAAATGATAACTGGATATGACATATTGAATTAAATAGGCATAATATATTTATGTTTATTTGTTTTAAAAATGTAATATGGTCATGCAACAATGTTTGAAATGTGTATTTTTGCATGTTGCGTACTGTTCACAATGCAATTCAAGGGCTTTACAAGCGTAAAGAAGTGATTGACACAAAAACCAAGTATTAAAAATGATATTAAAATAGTTTTTAATTAACTCTAAAAATAACTTGCATGCCAGTGGATATATATACTGTTTACATGCTATTTAAAATAATTAAAACCTTTATTAAAAAAATAAAATAAATAAATAAATAGTAGTCCGTATACAGTATATACTGCAAATTATGTCCTATGCAAATGTTCAAATATATATATATATATAATAAAAATAATGCTATATATATAATAATACTATATATATTTATAATACTATATTTATCTAAATAATAATACTATATATATATAAATGTAAAAAAATATATAATATAAAAAATAATTGTTAATGTCTATAATTACATACAGTTTATATGCTATTTTTTATAAAAAAATATTAGTCTGTATACAAATTGCTTGCTATGCAAGTGGACTTTTTACTTATTTAAGCTGCAGAATCTTTACCAAATGATTGTTTGACAGCATGGCAAAGTCATTTGAACTTTTTTATTTCCCATTGATATTTTTAAGGTGGTTTTGACGCAGCTTCCTGGTCAGGAGTTGACCTTGGAAGTTTTTGATAGGGACATGGACATGAAAGATGACTTTATGGGCAGGTATGAGGGCTGCTGTCAATATAATCCATAAGAATTCTAAATTTTGTTTTCGCATTATTTAGGGATGTATTATTTTTCTTTTAGGCTGAAGATGAATCTGAGTGATATAATTAGCTCCGAATACATTAACGAAGTGAGTATATGTGCATTTGTAGTAATACGTCTAAAAATAAGCTGCATTAATATACTGATTCATATGCTTTTGTGACTGTGTGTCAGTGGTTTACTCTGAGCGATGTTAAGCGTGGCCGTGTTCATCTCGCTCTGGAATGGCTGCCCACTGTAACACAACCAGAGAAACTCCAGCAGGTGAGCAGAACTGTCTCTCGTCCTCGTTCACTGTCTGTCTGTGTTGACAATGCATTGATAAAACAAACTGATTTATTCTTCAGGTGTTGCAGTACCAGTCAAAGAGCTCGTACCTGAATAAGACAGTGCCGACTGCCGCTCTCTTGTTTGTGTATGTGGAGCGCGCGCATGAGCTTCCTGTGAGTGATATCTCTTTAACATCTCAGTTGTTGAGAGCAAATGGAGATCTTGTAATCTTGCATGGTTCTCCTCGATCGCATAACTGTGCTTAGATTTGCCAAGATACAGTGTGCAATCAGAAGACAGAGATCTCAATATGAAGTCAAACATTTCTCAAATGATCTTAGGGCTGCTATTTTTGATATATAAATGATTGTTTATTTAGCAAAGATGCATTGAATTAAATTGATTAAAAGTATCAGTAAATCAGTCAATCTTAATGTCTCTGTGTGTTTAGTTGAAGAAGAGTGGAAAGGAGCCTAAAGTTGGTGCTGAGCTGGTTTTGAGAGGAACTTCTCATAGAACCACGGTAAGAAACTGTTTTTGCTCTTGAATTGATTATTGATTAATGATGTGTGGACACAGTTGACTTTCCTTTTCTTTACTGACACTGTGTGATGTAGGTCTCTGACCGCACCAGCTCTCCCCAATGGGACGAGGCATTTCACTTCCTGGTTCGAGATCCATTGAATGAAGACCTTGTTGTGAAGGTAAGAGAATGCAAACAGCACATTTTGACGTTATACGACTGTAGTGTTTGGCTTGCAACGCACCTTACCACCTGACTTTAACCTTTCTACCTCACTTTTTCTCGTCAGTTGTCCCACAATTGGGACTTGTCTCTGGGATCTGTGGTGATTCCCATCAAAGAGCTTCTCTCTGAAGCAGATCTGATGCTGGATCAGTGGCTCGATCTGGATGGAGCGTCACCCCAGAGTCAGATTCTGCTCAGAGCTCAGCTGAAGGTAAAACACACACACATTCTGTGATTTTAAAGTTTAAAAAAAAAGTCTCTTCTGCTTACCATTAATCTGATCAGAAATACAGTAAAAACAGTAATATTGTGAAATATTATTACAATTTAAAATAATGGTTTTCTATTTTAATATATTCTAAAATGTCATTTATTTCTGTGATGCAAAGCTTAATTTTCAGCTGCCATTATTCTTACTCATTACTCTCCGTTGCTGCCTAATTTTAGTTTTTTTGGAAACCACGATGCATTTATTTTCCATTTTAAATTTTTTATTTGTTTTTGATGAATAGAAAGTTCAAAAGAACAGCATTTATTTTAAAACATTTAAAACATTAGAAACATCTTTACTCTCACTTGTAAGAAACTGTTTTTGCTCTTGAATTGATTATTGATTAATGATGTGTGGACACAGTTGACTTTCCTTTTCTTTACTGACACTGTGTGATGTAGGTCTCTGACCGCACCAGCTCTCCCCAATGGGACGAGGCATTTCACTTCCTGGTTCGAGATCCATTGAATGAAGACCTTGTTGTGAAGGTAAGAGAATGCAAACAGCACATTTTGACGTTATACGACTGTAGTGTTTGGCTTGCAACGCACCTTACCACCTGACTTTAACCTTTCTACCTCACTTTTTCTCGTCAGTTGTCCCACAATTGGGACTTGTCTCTGGGATCTGTGGTGATTCCCATCAAAGAGCTTCTCTCTGAAGCAGATCTGATGCTGGATCAGTGGCTCGATCTGGATGGAGCGTCACCCCAGAGTCAGATTCTGCTCAGAGCTCAGCTGAAGGTAAAACACACACACATTCTGTGATTTTAAAGTTTAAAAAAAAAGTCTCTTCTGCTTACCATTAATCTGATCAGAAATACAGTAAAAACAGTAATATTGTGAAATATTATTACAATTTAAAATAATGGTTTTCTATTTTAATATATTCTAAAATGTAATTTATTTCTGTGATGCAAAGCTTAATTTTCAGCTGCCATTATTCTTACTCATTACTCTCCATTGCTGCCTAATTTTAGTTTTTTTGGAAACCACGATGCATTTATTTTCCATTTTTAATTTTTTATTTGTTTTTGATGAATAGAAAGTTCAAAAGAACAGCATTTATTTTAAAACATTTAAAACATTAGAAACATCTTTACTCTCACTTTTGATCAATGTAATGCATGAATTCCTGAATAAAAGTATTAATTTCTTTTACGGGGTTTCTGCCGGTCTTAAAAAGTCTTAATTCACCCTTCCACAATTTAAGGTTTTAAAAAGGCCTTACATTCATACAGTCATGCATTGCAAAAATTGAATATCTTCTTCTATCTTCTATATTTTTGCATTCCAATACAAATATCTAAACATACTTAAATCAAGACACATAAGATGCAAAAAAAAGGTAATCGTTTTCTGAGAAACTGAACTAAATTAAGTGAGTTTCTGCTTAAAACAAGAACAAATATCTGTCAATGTGGTATTAAAAATGTCCGTTTCAATTAAATTTTTCTGAGCAGTTTGGCAGATATTCTTGTTTTAATCATAACCATTTTGTTGAGTTTCACAAAAAACAAGACGACTTATGTCACGTTGCTTCTCATGTAAATGCATCTTGATTTAAGAATTATTCATTAAAATTACTTTAAAATATATTAAGTGCATTTTCTTTACTTGATCTTAAAAAAGTTTTTTTTTTTAATCTGTTTTCAAAACAAAAATCTAACTGACTACTAACTAAGAGCAGCCTGTGCATTCTGCAAAATATCATTTAAAAATGAGTTTTCAAATAGAAAACAATACAGTTTGATCAGTAGTGCTTGATGTTGGCTTGAACTGTGCCTTTGAAGTGTTTTGTACTTGATGTGGTGTTATCTTATGTCGTAGATTCTTTGCCCTAAAGAGACGGAGAGCTCTGAAGACCATGAGGAGCCCAAACATCCTGAAGCGTCCAGCTTTAGAAGAAAACCAGAGGAGGAATTAGTGCAGGAGTGAGAGGAGGAGAATTTCAAATCATAGAGCCCTCAAACATTTCTTTATTGATCATATTTAATAAACAGTGCCTTAAACTGAAGTTCCAAATTAAAATAAATAGATCTACAGAACTGACAACTGATATTTCATTCGTTATTTCTCTTAAAAATTGATGATGAAATCCATGGACTGTTAATAGTAATAATTAATAATAATTGTTACCGTAAACATATGTATTTAAGTAAGTGTGGTTGTTTATTGATTATAGTTGACTGTTAAGTGTGTTTATGGATATTTCTTGATTGATGTTTAAGAGAAACAATGTTTCCTGTTCATATCGTTGCATTTTATGTAACTTCTGTGGCCACATAAGAGCGAAAAGACAATAAACGTACTTTGACTTTGACGTGTGTGTGTGTCTGTGATTGTTTGGGGGTTTTTAGGTCTAGTATTAAGGAGGTCCCACCATCTCCTGTCAGCAGGACTTCCTCTGTGTCAGTCCCAGAAGAGGAGGAAGTCCCTGAGGTCACAGAGGTCCCAGAAGTTTCCAGTTCAGATGACCTTCGACCCTTGCACACCAGCCCTGACCCCAGCTTTGGTGCCGAGGTGAGGAATGTTCAGATGGATGGTGGACTGTTAATATGGCTTATAAATGCAAACATACCAACACAGTGGGGTGATTTGATGTTTTTTTAGGGCGTGCTCCGCCTCCACCTGCTGGAAGCTGAAGATCTGGTAGCGAAGGACAAGATGATGGGAGGGATGGTGAAGGGTAAGAGCGACCCGTATGTTAAGATCCATATCGGAGACAAAATCTTTAAGAGTCATGTGATCAAGGAGAACCTCAACCCCGTCTGGAACGAGATGTATGAGGTGGGTTTAGGTCCTCAGAGGTTTAGTTGATGTTAAAAATGGTTTTAAAAATAATATCAATGCTTTTTCCAGCTGGTTCTGACCTCCAGGTCTACCTCTGATGTCCTTCTGGAGGTTTTCGACAAGGATATGGACAAAGACGACTTTTTAGGGAGGTATGTGGCAGCGTTGTTATTGCTAACTAAAACTAAAACTATAAAAAAAATCTTTGTGTTCATTGAAATAAAGCTGAAATTAAATATAAATATTAGATGAGAAGTTTAAACAAAAATTAGAAATGTTGCTTTAATAAATTTTGCCTAAAATCACTTAATAAAAAATATATATATATATATATAACACATATATAAATAATATATAAAATATATTTAATATAACTAAATAAAAATAAAATAAACACACACACACATTTATGTGTCCGTGTTTTATATAATAAGTATATACAGTATAAGTAATGAAAATGTTAACTAAAATTAAAAGATCAAATTAACATAAAAAAATGGAAATATAAATATAAAAGCTAATTTATTACCATTTATTACTGCTGTGTTGTATGTTTGATGTGATGCTGGTCCATGTCATGTAATGCATGTTTGCATATGAATTTTGCTCGGCCACAGGCTGAAGATCAGCTTACAGGAGATCATTCAGTCTCAGCTGACTGACGAAGTGAGTGATTCATCACTAATATCTTTCCTCATTCTCTTCAGTGTTCTAATTTTGAGCAATTTAAACATTGAATTTTCGTTTTGCAAATTTCATTGTGTTTTCTTTCTCTGTGTCAGTGGTTTTCTCTGAATGACGTCAAACATGGCCGGGTTCACATGATTCTGGAGTGGCTGCCCACAGTCACACAACCTGACAGACTACAACAGGTCATTATTAAATCTGACAAATTATGTTATATTATATTATATTATGCAGACTTATGAATGATTTATGTTTTTGAGTTTTAAAAGTAGTTTGGTCTGTATGCAATCCATCTAGATGATCAGAGTAAAGTGTTTTATTTGGTGATTTAATTTTTTTAATTAAATTATGTAATTTAAAAAATGTTGATTTTTATATATTTATATCATTTCATTTGCTAGTTTTGTAGTTTGCTTTTTTCAGTTTTACTTGTCAAGTGAGACTCGTGCTGTATGTATACACTGTGTCAAGATTATAGCTTACCTTTCAGTAAAAATAATGAATGCATTAGCCAGTTTGTATTAATGAATAATACATTTAATTACTCATTTTGCATGTAAGATGTTAGATTTGTTCGATTTTGATGTCATGATTTGAAAACTATTATTTTAATGCGTTTATTATTTATTTCTTAGTATGTTTAATGTGAATGTATTTTCTACAGTTTATTTTGGTGTTAGTTCTCTTTTCTTGGTTTCTTCACGTCAGGCTCTGCAGTTACAGTCAGAGCATTCGTACCAGAACAAATCTGTGCCGTCAGCTGCTCTGTTCTTCATTCTCTTGGAGAGAGCTCACGACCTGCCGGTGCGTCTCTTATACGCATCATCCCACACTAATACAGTTATGCTATATTAGATGGAACTGTCTTAATACTGTCTTGTGTGCAGCTGAAGAAGAGTGGAAAGGAGCCCAAAGCTGCTGCAGAGCTGGTGTTAGGTGACATTTCCCATAAAACCAAGGTAGGCATTTGTGCCTTTAGTAAAGAATCAGTTTAGTGTCCATTTCTGACCCTTAATAAAAGCTACCTTCTTTGCTGGTCTTTTTAAAGGTGTGTGAGCGCTCCACGTCTCCTGAGTGGAGAGAAGCGTTTCACTTCCTGCTTCATAAGCCTACAGAGGAGATTCTTATTATAAAGGTAAAATAGATGGAGTTTTGATATTTAGGTAGTTGACATGATATAATCCATCTAAAACTGTTTTTAATGATCCTTTTAGAATTATTATGCTTGATGCTTTTATTATACATTACATCGATTATTTATAATATGTATAATAATTAATTGTCTCATTATTAGTATTATTTTATGTAATTTGTATACCACATATTGAGAGACTATACTAAATATTTGTACTTTTAATATATTATTATCTAATTATGTGTATTATTTATAATGATATTATTAAACATATTATTTGTCACACTGCTGGACCATTTAGTAACTGGCGACTAGTTACAGGACCTTTCCCATGTACATTAATATAAATTTTAACTTGACTTTTCAATATTGATATAGTCCATGGACACATTATGCATCAAAACCCCTTATACATGTCATAATAAATATTCATAATGGATCTGATCTTTGTTCATCTTTTCTCTCGTTTCCTCGTAGCTTTCAAGTGCCTTTGACCAGCCCTTAGGCTCAGTGGTTCTACCAATCAGAGAGCTGCTTTCAAAACCAGATCTACTGATGGACCAGTGGTTGAGTCTGGATGGAGCAGGTCCTGACACTCAGATTCTGCTGAGGGCACAACTTAAGGTCAAACAATGATTCTTATTGCTGTTTCTAAACTGTAATACAATTAACTTACTAACTGCCTTTTTCAAATTGTCATTTCAGTTCTTAAAATAAATATATATATTGTATATGGATCTCTCGCAGTTAGCTTCATGTTGGCGTGTCAAGTTGAGACCAGAAGACATTTGTAAATGTCTAAATTACACTTGTTTAATATCAGATTTTGGCCTCAAGTTTGGATACAAGTGTCCTTCATCATAAAAAGCCTGTTGTTGAAGAAGAGCATTCAGTGGGGGAAGAGCAGGAAGAAAAAGCTCCAGTCACTGTTGAACACTCACAAGCTGCAGTCAGTAAAGAGTCTGAGAAGAAAACGCTGCCAACAAAAGGGTTCGATTGTTTTGTTTTGATTACTGATTTCTTAAAAGTCATTTTGCTTCATTTGGAGAACTAAACCAGACTGCTTGTGTTTGTGATGAACAGGGTCAGTGAACTGGCAGCCTCTACTTTAGCAATTCCTGCTGTATCACTGCCTGAAGAACATCAGAAACAAACAGACGCCCATGATATAGATGACCATCACACGCCATCTGTACCCAAAACACAGCCTGCCACTGAGGTTAGTGTGTGTGTGTGTATAAAGCATCATTTACTTAAAGATTTTATTTTAATTCATTATTAATTTATTTGATATAATATTTGATTTTAAATTAATTAAAATCAATAATTATTTTAATCATAATCTCATTATTTCCATTTTAATTTATTTAATGATATTATAAATTATTCAACTTTTTATTTATTCAATTAATTTAATTATTTGACTTTTATTTAATTAACATTTTTGGTCCCACTTTATATTAGGTGGCCTTAACTACTATGTACTTACATTTAAATTAATCATTTAATTCAATGCACTTATTGCGTTCATACATGTTTTTACATTTACTTATATTTTTAAAAATACCTGCATGCAAATACATCTGTAACTAATTTATAATTACACTGTTGACCCATCCCTTACACCCTAACCCACCCATAAACCTACCCATACCACCAAACCTGTCCCTAACCTTACCCGTATCCTCAATAGCAGCAAAACTGTTTTGCAATACAATATGAACACAATAAGTACATTGTACTTATTTTTTGATGTAAGTACGTAGTAAAGGCCACCTAATATAAAGTGGGACCAAATTTTTTATTTAAACAGTATTTCAGATCCATTATATATTACATTAAACATTAAACTTTTTACTTAAATGATTAAATATGGTAAAAAAACATTAGTTTTGTTGAAAATGAATGGTGACCATATTTTTTATTTCATTTTCTTTATTGATTTTACTTTTGTTAATTTAGTGTAATTGAAGCACTCTTATTACACTCTCTCTTATTAATTTTAATTATTTAAATTTTTTGTTTTTATTGTAGTTTTTTAGTAATTTTGAAATACATCTGTAACTAATTTATAATTACACTGTTGACCCATCCCTTACACCCTAACCCACCCATAAACCTACCCATACCACCAAACCTGTCCCTAACCTTACCCGTATCCTCAATAGCAGCAAAACTGTTTTGCAATACAATATGAACACAATAAGTACATTGTACTTATTTTTTGATGTAAGTACGTAGTAAAGGCCACCTAATATAAAGTGGGACCAAATTTTTTATTTAAACAGTATTTCAGATCCATTATATATTACATTAAACATTAAACTTTTTACTTAAATGATTAAATATGGTAAAAAAAACATTAGTTTTGTTGAAAATGAATGGTGACCATATTTTTTATTTCATTTTCTTTATTGATTTTACTTTTGTTAATTTAGTGTAATTGAAGCACTCTTATTACACTCTCTCTTATTAATTTTAATTATTTAAATTTTTTGTTTTTATTGTAGTTTTTTAGTAATTTTGTAGTCTGTTTTTGTCATTGTTCTTAGTTCTTTTTTAAATATCTATATAGTTTTTATTCATTTTTATTTCAGTTTTAGTTATTTCAGCACATCAAGTACTAAATGAAAATGAAAAATGTTTTTGTCAACTACTGGAAATAAGATAAGTTTTTTATATTTTATTTTATTTCAGTTAGCATGTTTTGAGTAACAGAAAGGATTTGTATTGTTTATTTAATTGTTTTAGTTTTAGTTAGTCTTTTACTAACTTTTTAGTTTAGGTAACTTTTTGATAGCTATAATAACTCTGATTATTTAATATTTACAGAATCTCAGCAAAGTTCCTGATTCCACTCCCAGTGAGGGTGGATACATGGAACCAGTCAAAACATTTGGATCAGCCCATGAAGAGCAAAAACCAGAAGAGCTGTGCGTTAAAGATTTGATATAACCCTGATTTAGCTTTAATTAACAAAGTAATATATTAATACTCATAATAATGATGGGCCATCATAGAAAGATTGATTTCTTCATGTTAAACAGGTCTCACAAGAAGGTTTCCCCCAGTGCTCCTGCAGAGGAGTCAAAAGTCAGTAGTTCTGCAGACGTTCGACCCCAAAAGACCTGCCATGACCCCAGCTTTGGCACCAAGGTGAGAGCTGTGCGTTAAAGATTTGATATAACCCTGATTTAGCTTTAATTAACAAAGTAATATATTAATACTCATAATGATGATTGGCCATCATAGAAAGATTGATTTCTTCATGTTAAACAGGTCTCACAAGAAGGTTTCCCCCAGTGCTCCTGCAGAGGAGTCAAAAGTCAGTAGTTCTGCAGACGTTCGACCCCAAAAGACCTGCCATTACCCCAGCTTTGGCACCAAGGTGAGTCAAGTCAAGTCACCTTTATTTATACAGCGCTTTTAACAATACAGATTGTGTCAAAGCAACTTTACAGCATTAAATAGGAAAAAAGTGTGTCAATAATGCAATATTACAATAGTAAACACTAAATTTTCAGTTAAAGGCAGTTCATCATTGAGTGGTACATTTCTTGAACTTTTAGGTTCCTAGATCAGGATACCATTTTTGTGATGACTTCAGTATTCTTCTAATGTTATGATTGTTTAATGTCTGTCCCATAGGGACATTGTGTCAAAGCAACTTTACAGCATTAAATAGGAAAAAAGTGTGTCAATAATGCAAAATGACAATAGTAAGCACTCAATTTTCAGTTAAAGGCAGTTCATCATTGAGTGGTACATTTCTTGAACTTTTAGGTTCCTAGATCAGCATACCATTTTTTAGGTGTAGATGGTAAGGATGTTGGAACATGTCCTACTTGGCAGGATGACTTCAGTATTCTTCTAATGTTATGATTGTTTAATGTCTGTCCCATAGGGGGAATTTATTTGATATAATATTTGATTTTAAATTAATTAAAATCAATAATTATTTTAATCATAATCTCATTATTTCCATTTTAATTTATTTAATGATATTATAAATTATTCAACTTTTTATTTATTCAATTAATTTAATTATTTGACTTTTATTTAATTAACATTTTTGGTCCCACTTTATATTAGGTGGCCTTAACTACTATGTACTTACATTTAAATTAATCATTTAATTCAATGCACTTATTGCGTTCATACATGTTTTTACATTTACTTATATTTTTAAAAATACCTGCATGCAAATACATCTGTAACTAATTTATAATTACACTGTTGACCCATCCCTTACACCCTAACCCACCCATAAACCTACCCATACCACCAAACCTGTCCCTAACCTTACCCGTATCCTCAATAGCAGCAAAACTGTTTTGCAATACAATATGAACACAATAAGTACATTGTACTTATTTTTTGATGTAAGTACGTAGTAAAGGCCACCTAATATAAAGTGGGACCAAATTTTTTATTTAAACAGTATTTCAGATCCATTATATATTACATATTTCATATATATGATGGTAGTATTTGTTTTCAATTTATGTTGATTTAAAAAAAATTGTAAAACTTTTTTTGAAAGATGAGAAGAAAAAAAAATTTGCTGTTGAATTTGGGGTGAAATATGCACCAGATAAATCTTCTGAAATTTACTCTAAACATTAAAAAAAAAAAAACATTATTTCAGATGCATAAAATAAATGACGTTTTACTTTGTCTTCATGTGTGTTCAGGTTCAAGCTCAAACTTGGACATATCATCAGTTCCCAGTACAATGATGAAGTGAGTATCAGCATATTTGGCTCTGGTTTGTAAGATCATAACACAATCAGCACATGAACCTGTCCCCGCTGCCTTTTCTTTTCCAGTGGTTTACTCTGAATGATATAAAACACGGTCGAGTCCATTTGGTCCTGGAATGGCTTCCCACCTCAACACAGCGGGATAGATTGGATCAAGTCAGTTTTGCACGAAAGCACACAGAGTCTGTTGGTTGTTATATATATTAAATTGACATAATACTAAAACTTGTCTTTTTTTATTAGGTATTGCAGATGCAAAGCTCTCAGACCTACCAGAACAAGTCTGTGCCATCAGCAGCGTTGTTGTTTATTTACTTAGAAAGAGCTCATGATCTGCCTGTGAGTCGCTGTACTTCTACACACTATCAATATCCTATCATTTATAGCGCTTGCATTATAAAAGACAATTTCTAGTCAATACTAAATTAAGTAGAATGTTTGAATTTGTTTCCATAATGTTTCAATATTTTTAGCTATTTAAAAATACGTATTTATGTATGTATAATATTAATATGTATATATAATATCTATTACATAGTTTTTCTGTCAATATGGGGTGCTGTGTGTACATTAATGAGGGAAAAAAATTAACTTAAATGATTTTAGCAAATGGCTGCAATATAACAAAGAGTGAAAAATATAAGGGGGTCTGAATACTTTCCGTACCCACTGTATATATTTGTATTATGTATATCACTATGTATATTTATTCTACTGTATTAAGTATTTCACTGACTATAAATTATCTTTATTAACAAAATATTTACAGTATACATTATTTGAATGATTGGAAAAGTAATGAAAGTTTTTTTTTTTTTATAATAACAACCTGTCATTAATTCTTGATGGTTACATGTCTAGTTGAAGAAAAGTGGAAAGGAACCCAAAGCCGCTGCTGAACTTGTACTTGGAGAAACATCCTATAAAACCAAGGCAGGAGACTTTTTTCTATAATAGCAATCATGCAGTCTTATAAAAAGTTAAATGGTATATAATTTATTTGTAATATTTTAATTCATTTAAATGATTTTTTCTGTGCTCTCACATTTAAAGGTGTGTGATCGCTCATCTTCTCCGTACTGGAATGAAGCATTTGACTTTCTGGTTTATGACCCCAAAAAAGACATACTTGTCATTAAGGTGAGGATATTTTAGCCTGAAATGCAGTTAATACAATTTCGTGAAGATTGCATGCATTAAATGATGCACTGAATAATAATCAACAAATATTCAGCATCGGAGTATTGATCGGAGAAATGACAAACTACGAACGCTACTCTACACTGCTCAAAACTCGCGGTTGAATCGTCAGTGGCAAATTCTTTAAATATAAAATACGTACTTACAGTCTGTGAGTCAGAACAGCCGGCATTGTAGTCTACTCTACCAGGATCAGGAAACAGTCCTCCATAAAATGTGCTGCACTCATCTGAATATTTGGGTTAAACTGTTTTGGAACAGTGTTGTAAATACAACTTAACCACTGATTTCTAGTCGTGTCCATTTTTGGAAGGCCAAACAAAGTAGTTTCGCTTTCACAACGAAACACACAGCGTCTTCACGACATGGCGGCAGCGGCAACAATACTACAGTGAGAATAAAAATTACGCCGCCTTTCTTTGCGTAAACATTTGGGCGGCATTATGCAAATCTTCCCACATAGTGACGTAGACATGTGGGGGCGTGTTAGAACGAGCCGTTTTAGGTAGGCGTGGTTGACTCTTAACTTTTATAAAGAATATCTCTTTGGATTTGAGACTTTAGTCTTTGCAACTTTACAGATCTTCTTTATGCACCAAGAGCTTGTAACACTCCAAAGAGAAAAGAAAAATTGAAATCGCATCATATGACCCCTTTAAGCGAATGCTGCTGTTGCGCCCCTTGTGGCAACACTGAGAATGCAACAGTATTTGTGTTTAAACTAGAAGGCTTTCTGCATTAGATCTTAAATTATGATTATTTCAGACTCTCATTTGATTTATTGTCATTCTGAGCAGCTCTCAAGTGCCTGGGACCAACCCATGGGCTCTTTGGTTATACCAATCAGAGATCTGCTTTCAAAACCAGATCTACTGATGGACCAGTGGCTCGATCTGGATGGAGCTTCACCAAAGAGCCAGATGTTACTCAGGGCACAGCTGAAGGTTAGACAACTTGAGCTATCTGCGCTCATTTTGATGGTTGTTTTAGTCACTCGGCCATGAAATAGTATCACAATGCTGTAAATATAATCAACATTTTCTCTTCCATCCAGATCTTGGATTCAAAAATGGCTGCCTTAGTGGCCATGGGTTCAGGTCCTGTGTTGAGTAATAAGCAGGCGGCCACCACCGGTCAGATCAAAATCTCCCTTTCCTTCCAGAAGAAGCTGACAGTGATCATCCATGCGTGCAGGTCCGGTGTAATTAGAAACCCTTTCGACTCATTTCAAGTTTAGAAGTCGCCTATGTAAGTCTGAAGTTTGAGGTGAAGTGAGGACGTTCTGTGTTTGTGTGTTTTCAGGGGTCTGGTTACATCATCTAAGGACAGCTTAGACACCTGCGTCTCCCTCATTCTGCTGCCGGATAAAAGCAAGGCCACGAAAAGAAAGACGACTGTGAAGAAGAAAAATCTGAACCCTGAGTTCAATGAAAGGTTTGGAGACGTGTGTGTGTGTACAGGTTTATATATCCTGGTGGGGACTTAAACCTGACTACACACAGACTCATGGGGACTCGTGTCACGGTGGGGACCTAAATTGTGGTCCCCACGGGTACAAAAGCTTATAAATCATACAGAATTAAGTTTTTTGAAAATGTAAAAATGCAGAAAGTTTCCTGTGAGGGATAGGTTTAGGGGTAGGGTTGGTGTAGGGCAGGGATCCTCAAATCTGGCCCACGAGTTCCACTTTCCTGCAGAGTTTAGCTCTAACCCTAATCAAACACACCTGAGCATGCTAATCAATGTCTTCAGGATCATTAGAAAATCACAGGTAGCTGAGTTTGATCAGAGTTGGAGCTAAACTCTGCAACGCATTGGCCCTCCAGGGCAAGATTTGAAGAACCCTGGTGTAGGGCAATGGAATATACGGTCTGTACAGTATAAAAACCATT